CGGGCCGGCTCTCGCCCTCGGGGGTGAGCGCCGGCGGCGTGGGGATGCTGATGATGGCCGTGGTGATCTGCGCGGATTTGCAGTTCGCTCGCAGCCCGTCGTCTGATTTCATGTTGAGGCTGGAACGACTAGAAAACAAATTTAGTGCTCGGCTCGTTTCTCGACGTGAGGCGGGAGAAGGGATGGGAACGGCTGTGGCTCTTAATCAGGATCTCATTCAGCTGAAATGATCAAAGGCTCCGTTTAAACGCCCCTCCCGTTCCTGCAAGGCACCGTTTACGTCTACACACATTACACCGAGCTTGGCAATGTTCCCCCGGCTCGGAGACAGCTTTTCACGGGGCAAATTGCTCTGTTTCCATTTCCTTCTTGCATAATTCTAATTTATTTAAAAGGACGTCTAAATACGCTGTCCTGTGTAGTGCTTCTTTTCAGAGCACAGGTAGCTCTTTCTGAGAATGTTTTCTTGCATTTCAAATACCTCTTTCATATTCACCGTCCCTTGATCTTTTCTATTTTATTTCTCTCTGCAGCAGTTTCAAGGATCTGACAGCTGGGAGCATTCTTATTAGATCTGCATCAATTGCATCCTATAATTAATTACGGAGGGAAAATGATAGGTTGATTTCTGTGCATCTGCACAGCTCCAGGAGCCTGCTATTACCAGCCCAACATGTTCATTTTCAACACAAGGCCCGTCCTTTCAGAATGTGAAGCTGGCAGTGGGGAGGCTGTTGCTGTTGTTATCTCGGAGTGACTCACCACAGGACGGTTCCTGATCCTCAAACACCCAGCAACAGAACCAGCTCCCATGCCTCGGGCACAGCCTGAGAGTGGGGCAGCCCCAGGGCCTGGCTGCTCCTGCCAGTGGGAACCAGCACACCCAGCTGATTGAATTCCACACAAAAAAATATCTGAAAAGGTTGGGTTTTTTTCTGTCTCCATCCTTGCACGGTTTGGTAAGCAAGTGAAATAAGTGTTGACATTTAAAATATCACCAGCATCTGATTTAGCACCCAGAACAGTTGACATTCCCCTGAATTACTGCTTCAGGTGCTGGTTTAAATTATTGTCATATTGGAACTGAAATAGCTGGAGACTTGTTTTATGCTTATTCATTCATAACTCACGCTCTGAAGTGCCCTTCTGGCATGAAGTAATCACTTGCTGCCCTAAAGGCAGCTTTGTTTCTACATCCCTTTGATAGGAGTGGGGAGAAGAGGAATGGGACATTCAGAACCAGCCCTGCTGCACAAAAAACTTCATGGGCTGAGGGGGATTTAGCAAATAATTTACTATTTGCAGAAATTATATGGTGAATAAATGATTATTTTTCAGCAATTTATGTACAACATGAAATTTTAAACATTTTCTATTAAGGGACACTTCACCTGTGTTCTTTATGGCTTTTTTAGGTCACAGCTACTAAGACACCATTGTGAAATCCCTCTTATTTGCTTCCCAGTGATGCTTAGAGTGGCAATTTAGACTTCTGGACACTGAAAATCAGTGGAGTGTCCAGGGGGAACACGTCAGCTCTCCCACAGCTCTGGCCAGCAGACACTGCTGGCCCATTGGTTTTACCAACGTGCCCATTCCCAGGGGAGCCTGTTCTGTGTGCTACCATCCTTGGGGGGAAGCACCTTCTCCTCATATCCACCTTCTGATATCCACCTTCTGATATCCACCTTCTCCTCATATCCACCTTCTCCTCATATCCACCTTCTGATATCCACCTGCTCCTGATATCCACCTGCTCCTGATATCCACCTGCTCCTGATATCCACCTGCTCCTGATATCCTGAGTCTGGCTTTAACCTGCTTCTTCCCAGTTCAGCCAGGAGCTGCTTCCCCTGGCTCCTCACTGGGAGGGACAAAGATTCTGCCACCATCCCCTGCCCCCAGCTGCAGAACAGCCCTGCCAGCCCTGCAGCTGGACACAGCTGGACACAGCCGGACACAGCCGGACACAGCCCTGCAGCTGGACACAGCTGGACACAGCCGGACACAGCCGGACACAGCTGGACACAGCCCTGCAGCTGGACACAGCTGGGCACAGCCGGACACAGCCGGACACAGCCGGACACAGCTGGACACAGCCGGGCACAGCCGGACACAGCTGGACACAGCCCTGCAGCTGGACACAGCTGGACACAGCCGGACACAGCCGGACACAGCTGGACACAGCCCTGCACAGCTGGACACAGCCGGACACAGCTGGACACAGCTGGACACAGCCGGACACAGCCGGGCACAGCTGGACACAGCCGGACACAGCCGGGCACAGCCCCAGCAGCCCTGGCAGCCCCGCTGAGCACGACCCCTGCCTGTACCTGGT